ACTGTGATATCGTCAATCATTCCAAAACGTCATTCTCAGATTTCGCATTTTAACATGTTAATACTCTGCCCTTGGCGCGACCGCATGCCCTCAGCCTCAGCGCGACCGCAAACGGAACAGGGTGCGACCATGCGCGCACAGATATGACAGGTGCAAGAAAGTTGTTAGTACACCATTTAAGGGTTAGTAAAATCATTTCTTTATCAAATCATGATGAAAACAATTATCTTATTGATAACAGAGGGTACAGACAGTACAGAGACAAGTGGTCGCGGGTTGGACCAGCTACTCTAGTTTAGTAACTGAAGAAAACTTCTCTAAGAATGTTTCTGATAAACCTTTCACTTCGAACTCGACTGCTGCACTAGCAGACGACTGACGTTCTTGGAAAAGGATTGACCAAAAGTAAAAGTGGAACTAGACAAGGCATGTAACTCTAATAAAAAACAGATTGCACACGAGCTGCACAGAAGGAAAAATAGGGAACTGGTCGCGCTCAGGGCACGGTCGCGCCAAGGGCAGGTGTCTATAGATCTAGATCTAGATCTAATTGTCTAATAATTTGTTGGCGCAGATTTGCAAATGGAAATGGCTATTCTCACTAGGGGTGAGAATAGAAATACGATCGACCTCTCACCCTGGGTGAGACTTGCCACCGTAGGCTATTCTCACCCGGTTTGAAACAAGACCTGTTTTTCCTAATTTCGGAATACAGCGGAAACCTGATATAACAGGGATGGTGGGAGTAGAGAAAATGTCCTGTTATATCCGATCCCTGTTAAATGAGAAATGCAAAGGAAAGTAGGCATTTGTGGACTAATCCAGCTGTACTTATTCATGGGTAGTTTCCCTTGCCACAAGTACCCACGAACAGGGATTTTGGCACCACTTTTCTCCTTGCCTCCTTAAACCACATCAGCAGAGTTTGGTCCACGACAGCTGCATCGGGTAGTCTCCTCTTCTTTCGATCTAGAGCAAACTTTTGATTGGAGTATGCTGCCACTATCTTCTCTCTCTATCCTTGATAATGGTGTGAATCGACCCTTGTGGAATGTCGAACTGACGACAAATCTCTGCCAGTGGAGCTTGCTTTTTGTCAACAGCCTGGATTATTTCGTATTTTTGTCAACTGAAAGGCATTTTCTCTAGCGCTTGACATCGTTAGTGACACACTATGCGTGCGTGTTGTTAGGTTTCAGGCGAGATCGAGGTCTGCAGCACACTGCAGCCCTCTCTCGCTTCACACGCTGTGTGTGCTTGCAGTGGCATGGCTTGCATGGGCTTGCTCCATCACTGCGTTACTCTCTCTCTCTCTCTCTCTCTCTCTCTCTCTCTCTCTCTCTCTCTCTCTCTCTCTCTCTCTCTTTCTCTCTCTCTTACTTTTTACTCATTGTTAATGAGCCTTTGTCCCTGCTATAACCGGTTGGGCTCCGATGAGGCCCTGTTATTGCCGATAACTTTTAATATAGACAAAGAGTAGGAAAAAACGGGGATTTTAAAAATCCCTGTTATTACCGGATCCCTGTTATTACCGGGCCTGTTATATATGGTTTCCACTGTACTTTCTATCGATGTGGATGATCAAATGGATAAAGGCAAAGAAAAGATTACGTTATAGCACAAAAGTAAGCTAATTTTATAGACTACAAAGGTGCTATGGCTATTTCACTTTTCGAATCGAGCCGAACAACGGGGGTCGCCATTTTGTTTTGCCCGGAAGTTCTCGCAAGATCTACTCCTCCCCTCTTCTCTCTCTCTGTCTCTTTCTGAATACTGTCTATCGGTGTGGACGATCAGATTGACCAAAACAAAGTTTAAAAATAATGTAAAAAACACAAAAGTAAATTAATTTGGTTGTCTACAAAGATGCTACGGCTATTTAACTTTTCGAATCGAGCCGAACTATGTGGGTCGCCATTTTGTTTTGCCCGGAAGTTCTCGCGCTACTCCTCTCTCTCTCTCTTTCTCTCTCTCCACTGCCCACTGACAAAATTGTACGCTTTTAGGAGGCTACAGTTGTTTGTAATGAAACGTTTGTTCACGGCACAGAATTAGAAGTGACTACAATTTTTCTGTTATCACAGTGTAGAATTCTGTGGTTTAGCGTGAACACAAAATTTGTTGGCCTAGATCTAGGCTATAACGATGAACGCGCACCGGGTGAGAATAGCCAAAAGACTCGCCTGCACTATTCTCGAATAGAGGTGGCCTTTGCAAATACCTCTCTCATCTGTTTGTAGTTTGTCTTGGAAAAAACTTTCGAAGTGACTATTTCTCAGAACGTTCGGAGACATAGTGCCGATCTTTATTTCTCCGAACGGTTTCCGCCTTCCGGTCTTGTGATTTTTTGCCTATTTATTGCGAGAGTTCAGCGCCAACTTTCATTCTGCCTCTGGTCTGGGATTGGGAAGGAACACCGCATGGCAAGCCCGCCTACAGACAACCTTCAGTAACACCCACTACACACCCACCACCATCATGCACATGTACACACACAAACTTATACACACACTAACTAAACATGATCAGTGGGCAACTTTTGAACGTATGACGAGCTGAGCTGTGGATGGAGAGACAGTATGAGTGAAAGAGCAGGTGAAAGGAAGAATGTACGAGTGTATCCACAGGCGACAGCAACTACAAGACGACGACACCGACCCCCCTGGCCTGGTCCACAGCTCACGAACGAAAGGAATGCGGCTAAGGCAGTGTTTTGCCTATATTATTGTCCATGGTTCGCACCTTTCTTTGTGTGTGCCTGGAGGGACGGGGTGGGGTGTGAAAGTCATGCGGACGGGGATGAACCGCGGGAGAGAACACGGGAATGAATGAATGAGTGAAACTGAAAGAGAGGAACGACTCATGAGCCCTGGAGTGAATGGATCCTGTGTTTCTATTTTTGTATACTTGAACTGTTACTGAATAAAGCTCGAAAAACAAACACACGCACGCTCCTCACTCTCCACTTACACACTTACTACCACACACAGACACACTCACACACGCACATGCATACACACACACATACACACACAGGAGCAAATTTTTAGGTCTATATCTATTTCAATTTTCAAGAGCTAGTCTGGCTAGTCTAGAGATTTTTAGATGAGTGTAAAAACGTGAAAAAGAAAGGTTTCACAACAGAATGAAATCAAAATTAGAACAGCCCATAAACAACCACAAAAATTAACAAATAAGGGTGTGAGTCCACCTGTCCGAAGAAGATTGGCTGTTTTAGGTTCACTAAATGTGCGTAATTTTAAAACAAAGTACAGGATATTACAAGTAAATTATGGATTCGCACACATTTAAGGGGCCTGCCAGTGTCAGTACATGTGATCGGTTTTGGTAGAACATACGCTCTAACATAACACATTTAAATCTATATATTTATACATGTATATATTTATATTTAGAATCTAATGAAGGTAGGAACATCAAATTAAATGACGTTACACTATATAACACCCCCCCCCCCCCCCTTTTTCCCCATTAAAAAAAAATTGATAGCAAAACAACACATCAGAACAATAACAAGAAAGAAAAAAATACACACTAACAAAATAAAACACCACAAAGAGGGAAAAATAAAAGTAACTGTAACGTATTCAACAAATCAACGTGGTGACAACAAGTGAGAAAGAGACGAAGTGAAGCTAGGTGAACTTTCTTTCAAAGTAAAGAGGTTCGGTTTCTTTCTTTTTTTATTTATTTTTTAAATTTGACTTTTATTCTCCGATTTGGGGACCAAAAAATGCCACGATTGATTGGTCGCGGCCGCGACAAACGCAGATGTCTATGCTAGTTCTATGTGTCGTTATCAATAATCCTCCGTAGATCTAGATCTAGATCTAGACAGCACACGAGTGAACTCAACACATTAAGTTTAAGAGCAGCACCCTTCATAGGCAACACGTCATATCTGTAGCGAAAAACTGTTTGGAACTCTAGCATTTCTTTATAAATATTTACTGCTGACATTTTTTGGACCGATTGAACCATATTGTATACGAACAATCTTTGGTAGGCCTATACTATAATTATAGATCTATATAATATCAGAAATTTGCGGAAATGATGTGATTTCAGAGTGTTCGGAGAAATAGTGCCCAGCTTTATTTTCCCGAACGTTCGGAGAAATAGTGCCCCGCTTTATTTTCCCGAACGTTCTGAGGAATAGTGCCAAAAACTTTACCACTTCGTGCCACTTCAAGACTTCCATTGCATTGATACTAATACGATGATAGGTTTTCAAACACAAACTACCCCAATTCCTCCAATTTAGAATTATGTTGGGTGCTAGAAGAAACGTGTTCACCACTAGTGACGCGAGTTCATAACAAAGAGTGAGCATAAGAAGGAGTCACATTTTCACTGTTTACAAAAACGGAGATACGACAAAAAAGCACTGAAGTCGCGACATATCAGTTAAATTGATCGAAAATTACAACAACAAGAAATAAGTTAAACAGCAAGCTATATTATATGACTAGACAGGATTTTAGACACAAAATCAATTTTTGTTTGTTTGAATAAACAGAATCATTATTTTAAAATAAGCAAATGGACTTTGGAAATAAATGAATAGTTATGTTTGACAATTACTACAGATAAAATATAATGAAATGTAGACTTACTAGGCCTAGTTATGACCCCAGAGAATAGCTTCCGATCAATTGACCGGCGCGACGCCAGAGAATAGCCACTTGCATTTATTTTTGGCCTCTTCTATTTCTCTGAACGTTTGGAAAAGTAAACTTGAACTTTATTACTCCGAACTGTTTCCGTTCTCGAGATTTGTCGATAATAAGTGAATGGAGTGGCCCGTGTGTGTGTGTAGATCTAGATCTAGATCTATATGAGTTGAGTGTGAGTGACATGCCGTTAAACGTTGAAGACACATCTTTCTAATTGGCTGCTAATTTTAGTACAGTCCATGCCGGCTTTAAGCACGGTCATCGGGAGAAAGCATAAGCGTGCTTAATGCCGAAGCGGGCTTGAGTGCGAAGTAGACATAATCCAAAAATATATATTATATTTCCCCATGCTTTATTTCCCTTTGTATGTTAAGTAGGCCTCTAGCGGTCCCGCAAAAGTGTGCACTGTTATTTTTACTCGCCAAGGTAGTTTTTGTTTGCTTGTTTGCTTTTGTTTTGTGGTCGAATGGGAAATGAATACTTAATTTTTTACGGCCAGTCACGATACAGCACACTGGGCCTACACACTCCCTGTGCGTACCACTGCCCGCTGTGCCACGTTCATACCACCGCCTTCATCCCACCTCGCGCGTGATACATAATCAGGATTAATGGATAGCAAGGGTAAAAGGTGAAATGGCAGCCAGTCCCCCTTTCTCGTCTCGCGGACTCTCTTTGTATTGTTTTCGTCTGTGTGTAGCTTTGCCCTAGGCTAGTTCTTATGTCCACGCGCGCGGCTGTGTGCATCTCTCTCTACCTTCCTCTCCGCCTGTGTGTGTGTGTCTCCATCACTTGCGTTCTTTGTGTTTCTTTTAACACACTCCACTTCTGCTGTGTAGACTGTGTTCGAACTTCGATGGGTCATCATGAAAGTTTTGACTGTCTTGTAAATGAAGCGTGCCTGAAGCCGAAGTTACCGTGCTTAAAGGCGTGTATTTTATGTAGCAAAAATTCGGTAAGAGCCGTTTAGCATGCTTGAGTCCGAAACGTGCTTTATGCCGGCGTGGTTAAAGCCAGCACGGACTGTAATGTGATTTCATCTGGGAAACCCCCAGACTATTTTAAGAAGGGCGTGGAGGTATCGCATAGAATGACGTTTTCCGGTAGGCCTATGTTAATAACATTTCGGAATTCCAGTATTGACACCATACGAATGTCAACAATTTCCTTCACTGAGACATTGACGGGTTTGAGCTTCCTAATATTCCGGTTCACTGCGTCTATTGAATTCATTCATTGAACGTTTCCTCTAGATCTACCGTGTAAAAGAGACTATTCATCTTCGGAGCACCGCATCATCACATTTACCGGTATTCCTGAAGAAACATCGCACCAAAGCGTCTTGCCATCCCGTTGGCTATATTTACATATATAGTCACATGATCGGAGGGGGTGTTCCGTACTGGCATCACACAAAATGGCCGCCTTACCTAAAAATAGTTTGTGTCCTACGTTTAATTGCATGTGTGTGAGTGTGCTTGTGTGTGTGTGTCTGTGTTTGTGTAAAGTGTGAACGGGTGGGGGGGGGGGGGGCGTGGAGGTTTTTTTTTTCTTTTACATGAAAGGATTTTAGTTTTTGCTGGGTGATTAAAGGCAAAATAGGACTGCTAAGGTCGAGCAGTCTTGTTTTCTTGCAGTAGCTTTTGATTTTCAAATGAAGTATAGTCTGGGAACGTTGCCCCAAACACAACTGAAGTATCTGAATATTCAGACATTTAAAAATCTCTAGCTCTTGAAACTGAATTTGATGCAAAAAAAATGCTTCTTCCCAGTCCTCACAGAATGAAAGGATGACGCCTAAATCTCGTGAAATAACCCCAAAAATCTAGAGATCGGAAACCGTTCAGAGAAATAGAAACTGGTCATTGAATCGAAGTAATGAACCTATTTTGATAGATCTTCATCTACTCCTATTGAAAAAACTAGGCTACTGGTAACAGTTACTGAAAGAGAATCTGTTCTCAGCAATTGCTTATTGTCATCTTTGTAATGGAAGTTGACCAAGCCACTGCCACTTGGTGATTTAGATTTTTTAGAATTGGTTGGTTAGCCGATTTTTGTCCCTTAATCAACTTTTATTTTATATCCTGTGCTGACGCAGCCATATAGTTGGAGTCAGTTGAGAAAGAACTGATCTGTTTTGTATAAAATAGTTCTTTTTGTTCTCAGATGCGGAGAAAGAAAAAAAGCCAGATGTTGTGGAACTTGACAAACAGTAAGTAGCTCAATGGCTTTACTTTCTCCTGTTTTGATGTCATATACCCTTTTTAAAGTAAATTTTAAGTGGTGTTTGATAAGAAAGAAAATGAAAGTAGTGAGCTTTTCTCTGACAGTTGATGTAAAATTTACAGTTGACAAAGGATACTCAATAAATCTTTGCAGTATCTAATAATAATTGTACTAAATGACTTGTTTTATTCAATTTTATTGTTTCTTTGCTTCAGCGTTCATTTTGTATTAAAGATGGAAGAAATGGACTACCTTTGGTTTTGTACCCTCTGTGAATTGAGTAAAGGCAGTAAAGGAATGTTTGCAAGTTCTGTAGATTGTATTGAAACTGCAAGTGAAATGTACCTCTATTTTTCAGAATTGAAGATGGCAAGCCTGAGAGCAGTGAAAAGAAATCCGAGGAGTCTGAGCAGGTTTTTATTTCTTTTCAGCTCAGTTTTGTGTTCTTTGTTTTGTGTTTCAATACATCATCATGTATATTGAGTGTGTTTCTAATTCAGTTGGTTTTCTGAGAGAAAAAAATGTATGAGCTAATTAAGTAAAGAAATTAGCATTTTAATATGTGATCTAATTGAACAATTATCAATTCTGACCACTTGGATCTTATTTCAAACATGTGTCTTGTCTTTTAGATTGAGTTCATTGGTTATTTTTGTTTGTTTAATCTTTATAGTCCAAAGAATTTAAGGTGATAGTTTGGTGCTCATTATTTTTTTAGCATAAGAGCTTTTATATAAATTGAACATTTGTAAAAAAACTTTTGTTTCAACTGAATGGATGTAAAATTTTAGACAATTTTTCTGCAGCACTTCATCATCTCAGAAAATGAGGTTCAATAGCTACAAATAAAAATTTCGATGATTTCATGCTCCAATACATGCCTGTGTCTTCTTATGAAAGAAATTATTCCTGTCTCCCTGTGCTCATCCAGGCCTTGGTCAGCAATGGGGATGAGCAGGACAAAGAGGCAGCAGGATCTGGCGATGACGACGATGATGATGACGATGACGACGATGATGTTCAAGTGACCATTGGAAATATCAAAACATGGACAGGCAGCGAGTAAGTTTTCATGTAAATTAATTTTTAAGGTATCTTTTAAAAAATGAGAAAGATCTTTTCCTGATCTTGGAGTTTTTTATGAATATTATTTTTTTAAGCCAGTAACCCTTCGAGCCCTAGCTACACTAGTGGCAAGTTAAACAGCCCACATGCCTGGCCACAGCTACACCTGTGATCAAGACCATATCCCCAGCCCAGCCTGTCAGGGCAAAATAGGCATGGAAAACTGTGTACTTCACAGGACATTCATTACTAATTATTTTGAAGATTGTCCTGAATCAGATGCTGCTAATAATGAGATCTTCTCTGAATGGGATATGGAATTGAGTTTGACAATGATAGGAATGTGTGCAATATAGGCATGAATCGCTCTGGGGCTTAGGCAAAGCGGCACAGTAGCCTCAGGAGGTCAGGCCTTCGAGGTTTAAAGTGGTGTGTTAAATGATGCTCAAGATGCAATGTAAAGGTTTTTTTAAATACAAGTAAAAAGGGGTCTTTTTGCAATGTCAGTTTGATTTTTTTAACTCACACTACCTTTCATATGCTTTGCTTTTATTGGACTTTTTGTTAATTTTATTTTCACTTAAGACCTTAAAAATACTTAGTATAAGCTGTGGGGGACTTTTATTGTTAAAAAACTGGAGCCTGTTTTCTGATGCAGTATAACAGTTGCATTTTGTAAAGTCTGCGTCTGTTTCTTGTATTTCAGCTCCACCCCTCGGAATCTCTTCAAAAGTGGACAAAATTATCAGAAACCTGGAGCCAGTGAGTGTCTTACAATGTGCAAAAAAATTATAATCTTTACATTTTGCCAAGGTCTTTTTTGGGGGGATGGGAGAAGGTGCTTACTATTGGCCAGTACCTGGTAGGTTCTCTTCTCATGTTAGGGGCAAACGTTTGGTCATGCCCTTTCTCTTTGTGTTTCTCATGTCTCCTCTCTCTGTCTATCACCCCCGGGGCAGTGCTGCTAGCTGAAGTGTCTTTAGGCCATTCCCATGTTCTTATGCTCTGTAGACTTGTAATTGTAAGTGGCCAATTCATAAATGTCATGCTCATGACTGTGCCTGAACTGCAACAGGAAACTGCTGCTTTCTCTTTCCTATTCCTTACTATCATCATTTTCCTCAACTTCTTTTGTAAGTTTTTCACACTCTTGTAACCCGCTATTACCGGTGTGCCTTGATAGTTGAAGCTAGAGAGGTGAGCAGAGTACGCCTGATTCTCCGGAAGGACTTCTCTGATGACATTCACCATTGGCGCTCATATGGCCTTATGCAGTTGTGAGCACCGTAAAACCTCTACTAAAACAAACTCTGTCTATCTCTCCCTCTTTCCCTTCTTCCCCCCCCCCTCTCTCTCTCTCTCTCTCTCTCTCTCTCTCTCTCTCTCTCTCTCTCTCAGGGTGGAGGGTTGCGACACTATCATTTGAGGACAACATACTTCATTTCACTAATTTTCCACTTGCCATTTAATGTCTAATTAGACTTGCTACAGTGATACACTTATTTTGTGCTTGTTTTTGGGTTGTTGTTGTTTTGTTTTTGTTTATTTAACCTTTTTTTTTTACAGTTCGTGGATGCCAAGGGGCTATATTTCGGTAGTTCTTTTCTTCGCACTGTTTTCTAGTTTTTCTTGACTTTTTTCCCTACACTGTATGACTTTTACCATGCTCTTAACTCTAACCAGCGACTCAAGCCAAGCCAGCCCAGCCTGCCAAGGGCCTGGACATTGATGCAGTGGGAACAGTCAATGGCACACCTGTCTACGAGTTTGACCCCAGTACGATCAGCGCAGAGGAAATGCCATGGAGGAAACCTGGTGAGTTGTTGATGAGAGTGTGATTTGTGAAACACAATACGCAGGCAGTGTTGCATACCGACTTAAGTCATTTTTGGCGGCCTTTGAGATATGTCTGTAAGCAATACTGCTCTCCTATAGTTTGTTACAAATCAGTTTGTATGGAGATTTTATTTTGAACTGGATTGTATTAGAAGTTGTTGGGTTTTTTTAGGTGGGGGGGGGGGGGGGAGTGAGAATCAAGTTAGGTTTTTTTATCATTGTAAATAATGTCTGAACGATAATTGAAGCTTAGTCACTATCTTTGTTACTAGAAATCCACCTCCTCTGAAATAATTTAACTTTTTGCATCTAGATAAATATTTTTTTTAAACTGAACTTGTATACAGTTGATTTTATTCTAAATCATCCTTTTCATCCACTTTTCGAAATAGTTCTACTTTCACCACCCTTTTTTATGTTGATTTTACTTAACCTGGATTTTCCCTCAAAATACAACCAACATGTTTTTAGCCTTAGAGGTCGACTATAATTTAACTTTATTTTCAGCAACTGTTTGGGGTTTTTTTCCTGCCTGATTTGTTTTATTTCTTTACATCAAATTATTTCTACCTTGTAATTTAATTTATTTTACTAGCTGATGAAGTGCATTTTTATAAAATAGTTTTTTTCTGTCTTTAATCTGCTGGTATGAGTTTGTTACAGAATGATTACTTATATATATTTTTATTTTTACTGCTTATTTGGTTTATTCTTTGACTTCTGATTTGTTCTGTTTTTAGCATTGGTTTTGTCTGTCTCTCAGGTGCTGACATCACAGACTACTTCAACTACGGCTTTACTGAGGACACTTGGAAGTTGTACTGTGAGAAGCAACGAATTCTACGGGCCGAGGCTTCTGGGATGTCTGTCCCAACACAGATCTCTCGTTACGTGGTGAGTGGTGAGCATCAAGCACTAGTGTCTGTAGTCTGCCATTCTTGCTGTCTTTTACAACTTTTTCTTTCTTTTTTTTTCTTCTCATCTCTGAGCCAAAAGTGACATCAATATCTGCAATATCCACTTTCTAAATGATCCATATCTAGAGAAGGCTATAATGCTCATTCAACAACAAGAACGAAAAAGAATTGACAGATGTATCAAACTGTATATGTATTAGACAGTGTTTTAGATTACATGAGCTTTACAACAATAGTTGGAGGTGCCTTCAGTGATTCCTAGTTCTGTCTTTACCTTGTTTCTGTCTTTTTATCTTGCATTTTCCCCTGCCTTGGATGACTGTCACTGTGTCGATGTGTATTTTTTTACTCACTCTCATTTAAGCCTGGGAAATCTCTGTTCTTGTTCACAAAAGCTCAAGTCTTTCATCTCGTTCCTCTTTGTGTTTGACCCAGCCTGTTTGATCTGATATCATTGTAGTACATTTTTAACTCAGCCGCATAATGTTATGTCCTACGTAGTTGTCTTATTGTGCCGCTGTATTTATCATTTTAAAATATCGAGGCAGTTGCATAGAAAAATGAAAAATTCGAGTGTTTTTTACTTACTTTATTCAAACTCATGTGACTCAGGTTATGTTTTGATTCTGTCCTCAGCCCCCATCCTCTGTGTCCATGTCGTCAGTGACCTCCATTTCAGGTACAGTGAGATGAAAATAGCTAATGTCGGCTAGATGTACTAAGTTCAAAGTTTAGAAATGTTTTTCCATTGCAGTTTCTTAATTTGTTGTATTGGTTGTATGTGCTGAAGAAATATTTTTTCAAAATCCATAATTTAGATTTTGAAAAAGACAAGAGATGCATAAAATATTTACAATTGTTGAAAGAATTAAACAGTTTTTTCCTCTCTCTCCTGAAAATTTTTATTTCTGGGCTAAAAGCATTTGAACAGCTTGCTGAGGATCTTTACATATATATTACTTTCTTTATCAGCTTCTGAAATGGAGTTGGTATTAGGCTTACTGTCTTGCCTGCTGAAGACATGAGTCTAATGCTTGCACTGGGAAGTTTTTAATCAGTTATCTTTGTCAATCAACTTGGATGTTATTATCGCAGTCAGCCCAGGTTGACCCTGATACTGAGGGTTGAAGGAGCCTGCCTCCTAAATCATCTGAATTGTATTTATGGGATCGTGAGATATTTTAGTATTCTGAGGCTTGGTGCAGCTTGTATTTTGATTCATAGGAGCATTGTATCGAAACTTCCATCGTTATAATTTCAGTGTGAGAACATGGCTTGTTGGAGAGCATCATTGTTAGGTCCGTTTTGTGTATGTGTTTGTCTCCCCCCCCCCCCCCCCCACGCACACACACACATACACACACACGCACACTAAATGACCATTATTGTGCCAGTAATATGCATCCCTTTGTACAAGCTCAAACTCAACATGAGAATAAATAGAGGGGTGGGGGTTTTTTTGGTTTGTTTGGAGGTTTTTTTCCTTTTCTTTTCTTTCAGATGTTATGCTTTGTGAAATGGATGAGTCACACCTTTCTGTAATTACGTTCCTCAGAGAAAAAATCAACTACTACATCATCTTTGACCGACACACACAGCAACCGCAGCAACAACAACAGTAGCAGCAGCAGCGGTGGTACCAGCAACATCATCACCATCGGCGTGATAGGGGGCAGCACCAGTCGGAGGAAGGACGACCGCAACGACCACCCGCTACCTATCCCCAGCAGTTTGTGAGCACTTTTCTACATTTATCATGTTTTTGTCTTGTCTTGAAGTTGTTGGTGAAGTTTTCTTTAACCTTGTTGGGACTGTTTCCATAATGATATGTCGAACATTGTGAGCCAAGGTGCCGTCCTCCCTTACGGAGTACTTCCTAAAATAGGTGGGGGGGGGGGGGGGGGTACAGTAAAAGAGACAAAAGAAGATAAGAGAGAATAAGAGAAAGATAGAGAAGGGGACGCATAGAGTAAAATTGAAAGACAGTAAGAGAAAGGGATGAGGGGTGAGAGAAAGAGGAGGGGGGAAAGGGGAGAAAGATGTCTCCAATGTATTGTTATGTGTGAGTGACCTAATTGCACTGGAAAGAAATAATTTTCTGTAATACTGTCTATTTGTGTTTTTTTCCAGTAACCGTAACATGCCACCCCCAAACTTCAGCCAGCCTCCCCCAGCCTTGCCCAATGCTAACATCACGCCCATCATGCCAGGTGAGATGAACACATTGTCTGTCTGTCTGTCTGTCTGTCTGTCTGTCTGTCTGTCTGTCTGTCTGTCTGTCTGTCTGTCTGTCTGTCAACATCACTTCCAACATGCCAGGTGAGGTGAACTCATGCCCTGTCTGTCCGTCCGTCTGTCTGTCGATCGGTCTTTCTGTTTGAATGTCAGTCTTGCCCAGTGCAAAAATCACCACATCCTGTCATGTGATATAGCCACATACTCAATCTCTTCCTCTGTCTGTGTCTGTCTGTCTATCTTTGTCTCTGTCTCATTTCTTTCTCTCTGTTGATTCTGTCCTTCTGTGGCTTGCTTTTTCCAGAAACAAAGTGAGACCGTTAGTGTACCAATATGTTTCTCTATACCCAAACAATCACAAACACGTAATACATACGTTGCCTTTATCTGTCCTCAGGTCTTCACATCCCACCGCCGTTCCCCCCTACACAGCCTTCATTTGACCGTGAGTATGCCTTTTGGTTACTTTTCTATGACTTTATCAGGATAGTGGATAGCATTTGAGATGAGGGAGGGCAGCGCTGTTTGGTCCCATTATTTTTTATTTCCTTCTGTTGTGTTAAAAATGCCTGTCTCCGAAAATGGTCCAGCAGCATCTGTGTGGGTCAGAATCAGAGAGTGACAGGCATTCTTTTATTATTTCATTAATTTGGGTTGTTTGGGGAGTTTTCTAGGCTCTCCTTAGGCACATCACTAGCCCAATGGGTGTCTTACTGGACTGTTTTGCTGATGGCTGTTGTTCAAATTCCCAATATAGTGTTTGAAGAGCTTTTTTTTTTGCTTTTTCTAGCTCTTGCATGTTTTTATATGACTTTGTTGTCCTTTGGTAAAACTATAGTTCTTTTCAAATAAACAATTTTCTATTGTGCTCCCAACACTTTATTGGGATTTGTCTTACCAAATAATGCTTTGAATTGCAATTTTATTTTTTTATTTAATTGATCTGATGTTTTATTGAAACCGACTTTTTCTCTCTCTCCCCCCTCTATCCACAGCTTATTTTCCTCCAGCTGTGCCAGATGCGTGAGTAATAGTGATAAAAATGATGGGTCACGTTCGTACACAGCTTTTTTTTTTAGTTAAGAGAGTGTATACATGAACTGACATATGATATGAATAAACATACCCTCTCTCTCTCTCTCTCTCTCTCCCCCTCACCCCCCCTCTCTCTCTCTCTCTCTCTCTCTCTCTCTCTCTCTCTCTCTCTCTCTTTCTCTCTCTTTCTCTCTCTCTCTCTCTCTCTCTCTCTCTCTCTCTCTCTCTCTCTCTCTCTCTCTCTTTCTCTCTCTCTCTCCTACATACACTCACATACACATATAATATACAGTCGAACCTGCCTTAACGGAAACCTGTGTAAAACGGAAACCTGTCATAACGGAATCTCCCTGCTCCCCCCTTGATATATTCCTCTTAAATTACCTGTATAAAACGGAAACCTGTCCAACGCGGAAACGGAAAGAAAAAACCGCTCCTTTCCGAGGGTTTCACCTGTCTAAGACGGAAAATGCTTTGCCCGCTCAGCCCTGATTTGAAACAAAACTCGCAAGTTTGGTTCCACCGGCTCTAAACTTAACGCCATGGCCATGCCGCTGGGCAAGGAAGGGGAGTAGGGGTGCACTTTGGGAGTAGATGTTACCCCACCATGTGAGCCCTGAGTGATGCAGATGGTCAGTGTAGTGTGGGTGTGATATCTCACGACTGCCCGTGAGAGTGCTCGAGTAGCAAGCCACTACAGAAACTTTCCTGGGTAACAAGAAGCCAGAGGTGTGAAATTAGATTGACCAATGCCTGCCGCCCTGATCATACGCCAGCCGAGAAAAGAGTTCCTCGAATCGTTGTTACATTGATGGCAGTGACGGGTGGCATTGGTGGGTGGGACTAAGGGTATAAGCCAAGGAGATGTTCAAACGTTTCTGTTTTTAACAAGTCAAACAGTGGTCCTATGAAAGGCAAGCACTGGTTGTAATTGGATACGTAAGAATGACGCATGTCTCTATCAGACAGGATAGCTGCTGAGAGGTCTGAAGTTTTGACCACTGCTTGCCGATCGGACAAGCGATCCTTGATCCCACCGGCTGGGCCTTTGAACCCCCCTCCACCTCCCCCCTAAATTCCCGTCTAAGACGGAATTTTTTTTCCCGCTCCCTTGCGATTCCGTCTTACAGGTTCGACTGTATACATAAAAAATGATTCTCACTCACATACACAAACACATTTACACACTCGCACACATGTATTTCCAGTACTGAAGCATAACTGTTTCCGTCATTTGTAAAAGTTCAAGTTTTTTCAATGAATGCCAGCTTAGTCCCTGAAAGAATTGTAGTAGTAAAGAGAATCAGTTGAGACATTATTATAATCATAAATTGCATTTATATAGCACTCTGTGCCATACTAAGCTCTGAGCGCATTACATCAATCACATGATCACTGAGCAATTCACACATGAGGAGGAAAGTTACTTCTTTCAATCTGAATCCATCCGTCCTTCAGATATTCTACACCACTACAATAGAAACTTTGATAAATTTTGGTGTCTCTTGCTATGGTAGCAATTTGGGAAGACAACACATCATAAAAATAAACAAGTTGATCAGAAAGGCATTAAGAACAATTGGTAGACACCTAAGTAACTTAGAATATCTGCACAAAACAAACGTTCTAAAAAAGGTGGAAATAATGCTTTCTGGCCATAGCCACCCACTGACTTCGGAATTTCAATTATCGACTCACAGTGAACGATACTTTTCCAATAAAAGCAAGAACAGACTTATAGAAATTCCTTCGTACCAACTGCAGTGAGGTTACTGAACACACAGTACTACAAATGAAAGAGAGAGAGAATGTTTTACGGAGCGGGTTGTTTCAGCACCTGAGACATGTATTAGCTAATGTCGTGTTTTGTTGTGCATATGTGTGAGTACACCTTACTTTTGTAACGTCTACTGCCATTGTTAATAACCAAGACAAATTTTTCCCTACGAGATGAGTAAAGATTGTCATTGTCCTTGATAAAATATTTCATAGTAACAAGAAAAACCAGTTCAACCGCATAAAGAAGAATTTCACAACCGTACATTAATTATAAAGTACATATAAGACAGCAGTAAAAACAAAACATATCAGTACTTACTAACACACTATCCAAGACAATTCCCATTTCTCAGATGACCACTTTCCTCCCCAATAGAGTGGTCAGTATGTCATCTTGGAGATGGTTTGACTCTTTAAGAAAAGCATGTTGCGGGCGGTCAGAGGGAGGCACTAGTATTTCTTATTTCTGCTCTATCCCTATGTTGTTTCTGCATTTCTATCTGACTTTTTTCCGTGTACTTAGTGACTGTTACTGTGTTGATGTTCTTCTCTTTACTCAAACTGCACAAACAAGATGGGTCTGCTATGGTCACAGTGTTGCTGATGAGAAATTTCTTACCTTTAAGTTGCTTTAATCAAAGTGGGTAGTTGAGAGGTGCCACAGGTAGGTCCTACTTCTTTTCTTTCTCTTGTTCTCTCTCTGTGTTTCTCTCTCTGACTCTTGTCTTCATCTCTTTCTCTCTGTCTCTCTGTCTCTCTCCCTCCCTTCCCTCTCCCTCCTTTCCTCTTGCTTCCCCCTCACTCTTACATGTTCTCTCTCTCTGTCTCTCTGTTCCTCTGCCTCTCTCTCTCTCTCTCTCTCTCTCTCTCTCTCTCTCTCTCTCTCTCTCTCTCTCTCTCTCTCTCTCTCTCTCTCTCTCTCTCTCTCTGTTCCTCTGCCTCTGTCTGTCTGTCTGTCTGTCTGTCTCTGTCTGTCTGTCTGTCTCTCTCTCTCTCTCTCTCTCTCTCTCTCTCTCTCTCTCTCTCTCTCTCTCTCTCTCATGCTGTATTGTCAGCAATATTAGACCATCATTTCATCAATGCACTTCTCTTTAAATAACCCAGCCTCAAACTCTTTTGATCACTGACTGTGAACTTAGCGGACTCTATCTCGTTATAGTCAACTATCTGTTCAGAACTCGGTGCTCACGAGTCGCACCCACACACTCATCCAGTAAGTGTAAAGAGGATGATTCTCCCTCCCCCAGGAGAACTCTGTCCCACCCACCCCCGCCATTCCCCTACGGCAGCACATTCCCGCCCACCCACCCGCCACCCTTTGGAGAGCCACCCGCTTCCATCCCTGTCTCCACACAGTCCACACCAGCATGGGAGTCCAGGTAGGGACTTATGTTGGTGCATTTGTTGTTTTTTTTTCATTTATTTAGAGAGAGGAATAACGGCTCTGACTGTTACTGTTATTAGCATGCCCAAATTTACGTTACCCTTGGAAAACATACTGTAAAATTGTCAAACGTCGGGGACAAAGTGGCTATTAATTGGACAATTGTTTCATTCTGATTGCTTTGGTTTTATGAAAGAAGAGAGAGATAGGAGACAAGAGAAAAACGCGTGAAAGAGAAAGATGGGGGAAGAAAGAGACAAATTAATGTAGGGGAAGAGAGAGAGAGAGAGCAAATATAGAGGAAGAGAAAAACAAGAAAGATTTGGGAATGAGAGAAAAGGGAGAGGAAAGATGAGGTAAAAGTTAGGGGAAGAGAGCGAGAGAGAGCAAAAGATAGAGAAGGAGGGAGAGAAAAACTAGTGCTTCCATCTGCTGAGGATCAGTGTGGATGGTTGGTGGGTGCACTGGTGTGGTGGTTTGCTCCTTTCTTATCAAACATCTATCGTCATTATATCTCCTTGTTTTTTAATGTTACTTTGTAGTAAGTAACACCTGTAACCTTTGGCACTTCTATGACATAATTGTGCAGCAAGTGCTATGAAACTCTTAGTAAAACTAAACTGACAATCAGTATGTGTATTCCTGGTCTGTTTGTTAATCCTTACTGTCAAAGTGAATATTGGTGTCACAATTTCTTGTTGTAGGAGAGGCCGGCCGGCCCGGTAAGTTCTCATTTTCTGGGGTTTCTGGTATTTTTTTCTCACTTATCTTTTTTTTTTCTTCACATTTTTACTCTTTCCATCTCTCACTCGTGTCTGGTGGTTACGGTTGATTGTTGAAATGGTTGTAGAGCTCACATCTTGTATGTGAGGAGCTACAGGAAGAAATATAAACAAGGAGTGTTTCAACTTGTTGGATTTTCATGGGATGTAACATTAGGTTTCTAATCATATCTATCGGAAAGAGACAATCAAGATTTTTTGGCCACATATGTAGATGAAATAGAACTGAGAAATTTCTACTTTGTGGAAAGATAGCCAGAAATAAGAGCAAAGGAAGACAGAGTACAACATATGAGTACACAGATGGTCAGAACAGCTTTATGACGTACCAACAATCAGAAAGACTAACTGATCAGGAGGACTGACAACAGGAAAGTACGGGGTTCCATGATTGTCAATGTCAGCTTCAGACACTTGACGGCTTGATGGTGTCTGGTTGTCTGAGGGATAAGAGTAGGGTTGTTGGTGGCTGGAGAGTGTCTCTGGTAGCCTTATACCCTCTTTCCCCATGTAGATTGTCTATCGGTCTTGCTTTTTCCTTGTGCTAAATAACAACTATTGCGTCAATGAACTACTCCTTACTCAGCGTAAAAAGTTACTTACTTTGCCTCTCACAGATACGGTCTTGGTTCCTGGCTGGAGATTAGTTAGCTCTGTGTAGAGATATGTGTCAAAGAAAATAGTCCTGCTACAAAGAGTAAATGGTTGCACTTATGAATGGTGGCTTTTTTTTTTTTACCTTGACCTTGACCTTTTTATGGGTCATAGTTTCTACATCAATAGGCATTAGACATGTTCGACAGATTTGTCTATTTTATGGAATTGTTTCTCGCCTTCACACACAAAAGGCTGTTTTCAACGGGGTATTTTTTTCTGCATAGCTTTAGTCTGTTTCTCGTTATTGACAACATTCCCCACATGTGCTGCTTCTGTGCAGGTGTCTCATTTGTGTGAGGCCTTGTGAGAATTTGTGACTCTGAGATCAATAACCCTGTTCCTGAAAATATTTCAAATAGGGTTACATTTCGGCACAGCTTTGTGAATGTAACAAATGATGAAGTAGTGACACCCCCCCACCCCTTTTTTTAGCGCTGAACTGACAATTTATTTGGAGCTATCCATTGAGATTTAAAGAAAGTAAAAGATTTTGGTTTGATTTGGCTCAAAATTTTCCCACACACATTTGAGAGAAAATTTCAATGATTCAAGACTTTCTGCTTCCTTTATGGAAGGGTTGTCTGTACTAGACTCCCATGTTGGCTTAAGTAACTTCATTAAAGTTTTCTATGACCATTTAGGAGAGGACTTCCGCGCAGGTGAGTGGTTTTTCATGTGGGCATTTATTTTTTCTTTTTTTTTTGTAACTTTCTTATACTCCTGCGCTCTTTTTGAGGAGATACATTATTGCTTTTGTATCTTCGCCTCTGTTCCTGGGATTGAGTGAAGTTCATGTGCTGTTTCAGAGTTTTACCTTTGCCTTATTGGCATTGTCTTTTTGGGAGAGATACAAACAGGTGAAATAGACAATGGATACAGAGGGATAAAAAAAAAACAAATGGTCTCTTTCAAGGACAATCGGGCTGACCCAGATTTCGGGTGTTTCAAGAAATCTTGACCTACACCAAAAGTGGGCATTGCCATACCTATAGCAGAAGTTTGGTTTCATTGGTGTGTATATATGGTGTAAAGCGCATAGAGCCTGCTGTTGAGCGGGGATATGCGCTATACAAATGCTATTTATTATTATTATATTTTTTTGATTATAGAGAACACTCTCTTTGTCTTTTAAAGAAAGTGAACAAGGGTCCAAAAACTTTACCTTTGATTTTCTCAAAACAGCATTTTCCGGGATAGCCCCCTTGTGCTTAGAAGCGACCAAATAAGAGGAAGAGTTTCAAGAGAAACTGGCTTTCTTATACTCAGTGCACATTGTGAATTGGATTCATCGGACAGAGTTGGTACCAACTATTTTGACACATGACCTTGAAAAATGAATACGTTTGATTTGAAGGTCACAGTTGAAATTCATTGATTGAATTCAACCATATTGTTCCAAAGTGGTAGATTATGCCACTTCCATGAAGGAAATATCTGTCTGGCTGTAACGCAATCCAAAGAATCCTATTGACAGTATGCATTGGGTATTAGGGAAACAAGGGCGACCTAGCTTTTAAATACTCAAACTGTGTGGATGGCTCTGTGAAGTTAGAACTATTAAACACTTATCAAGTTAAACATTTGCCTTTGCTCTTGGGTATTTGCGTTCAAGGGAGTTTTTACAAGTGTTAACTTTACTTTGTTTTTCTGCCAGGCACGGTTCAGGCAGCCCAAATCTTTAATGATGTAAATGTTGTTGTTACGGGCATATATGACATTTACACAAAAGAAAATATAATTTTTCTTGTGTCTTCAGTCTCTACTCTTTGGTATTGTCTTAACTGCTCTACCAACAAAGGGTAAATAAAAAAATGTTGGGAGTTTGCTTTGGTTCACCTTTTTTGAAGATGCAGAAGTTTTTTCCTTGGACCCCTGAAAGCTTAAAATTAATCAAAAGTGACCATGGCAGAACTTTTGAGGACAACTGGTCTAATGTTGTTTCTTAATCACCGATGGCCTTCAACAGTGGGTGCGTGCCAATGTTTTTAGTGGCAGTTTTACTATTTGTCACACCGCGATGGAATCAAGCGCTCGTTAATTGTGGGGCATTTAGAGTTATTAATATCATCTTAAAGTTTGTTCATTTGTCTTGAATTTGGCAAAAAAAACAACCATATATCTAATTATATTTTTGAGAGTTCGTCACTTTTGTCGCCTAAAACTTCTGAACCACTTAACTTTCGAATTTGAAAAAAATTAACGGTGGTTCAGAATCAGTTAAAGAGTGCACAGTTATATTAAGGAGTCTGAAGTCACTTTTGTTTAATTTTCTGTTTTTCATTAGTATCGTTTAGATCTAATCTTGGGGAAGTCTGTCTTCTAAGACGCCATTGTAAATAAGTGAGGCTTCCGTTCGCAAGCAGTGCACACTGGTTCCACAACAATCTATTCTTTTGCGTCCATTCATCGAACAGGTACCCAGCTAGTCTTGAATAGAAGTTGAGATATTTGCAAGTGAACGAGGAAGGGGGTTGGCTGATATGAAAGGTAATGTTAGCAAGAAAATGGCCGCCAAAGTTTGGTGACTTTCAAAGAGCTTGAGTGTCCTTGGAAGCTGGAAATACACATTCTTTGTGCCTTGATTGTGCATTTTGATTTGGGTAATATCCACATAGAAACATTATGTTTGGAAAAGGACATAAAAGGTGTTGAAGAAAAAAAAGAAGAAAAAAAATTGTATTGCCCAACGCCAAGAAAAATGGCGATTTCTTTGATTTCACTGTTTTGACGAGCGCCTGATTTCATCACGTTGCCTCTCATATTTCATTGAATAAGACTGGCAGTTTGATATTGAAGTGTGACATGAGGTTGAGCAAACTTTTCAGGTGAAATAAGAACAAGAACATCCATTACAAATGACTGACTAGAAATACTGGAATGTTAAAAACAGTGAAGGAAAAACTTTTGATGTTCAGAAGAAATTGTTCATTACCACTACCCATTCTCGACTAGAAAAGTGGTAGTCTTAGACGGATTAATACATGTGTATGGAGAAAACCAAATTACTCAAGGGGGCAAATGAGAAGTGGTTGCTTGGACAGGTAGCTGTTAGAGCAGGTTCAAATGTATATGTTTAGACCATTCTTCATTGCATGGTGGTTTGGACTCATGGTGGTCTGCGTTGGGTTTTTTTTTCTTTAAAGTTGTTGGTTTCCCTCTGTATCCCATGCTCTCCCCCCCCCCCCCACCACCACTTTCCATCCCTGCTGCCAGCATTCAGCATTTTTTGCATTGCATGATATTCTTCTCCATTTCCTCTTGTATTTCCAGTTTCTCTCAGATGCCCCAAGCCTCTTTAGCCTTCCATCCTACCTCCCCCTCGACTCCCTTTCTCTTTCTCTTACTCTCTGTCTCTGTCTCTGTCTCTTTCTCCTTCTCTCTCTCTCTCTGTCTTTCTATCTCTGCCCATTTCTTTCTCTGTCTCTCTTTCTCCCTCCTCATCTGCCTCAACCTCCCTCCTTATCTCTTCTTCACCCCCTGTGGCATTTGTTTTTGTCTCTCTGTTCAGCTTCCCAGACCGGGAGCGTGATCGCTGGGACGTGAATCGTAGAGATCGTGAACGGGAAGTCAGGGAGAGGAGCCCGAGACGGGACGAGGACCTTGAAAGGTGCGGGGACAGGAGGTCGCCAGGACCATCATGACCTTTTGTGTTAAATGTGCTCCCATCCCTTTCACTTGAATCTTCTAACACTTTTCTAGAAATTCTAGCCTAGTTCCAGGACCAACGCTGCATTAATTAACATACATTCTACTGAAGATTTCCTCTTGATTTATCCCCTCCCATCCTTTCCCTGTTAATTTTTTAACAGTATTTTAAAGATTTTAGCCTTGTATTGAGAATGCTTTATTTTTCAAATCGGTTGGGTCTTGGTACATGAATCTTTGAACAATTTCTTAGCATCCTAGCCTTGCACTAGGTTCTAGTGATGTTAAGTTCCACTTCGCTTGATTTGATAATCTTAGATTCCTAGCACATCTTCCCCAGCCCCCTTTACAACCTAGCCAAGAACTAATAACGATGACCTGTGCCACTTCACTTTATTTGAACCCTTTCCCTCATCCCAATGTTCTACTCACTACTCTGCTACTTCCATAGGTATTTAAAGGATAATAGTGTTGGTAGTTTTTTTTTGTCTTTGCTGTCCCTTCCTTGTCTCTGTCTGTTTTACTTTTGTCTCGGCATCATGTCTCTATTTCTATTTCCAATATTTCCTTTGTCTTTCCAAGCAAGACCAATTTCTCTGCCTGTTCATTCACACAACAGAAGACTAGTTATCCTTACAAAAGTCATTTCACTCCTTTGTTTTCTAGGATATTTTTAAAAGTTTTGCTCTTTTCTCATGTCTTGAATAATAGAAGATATTTTTGTTTTTTGCGCTATCTCTATGGTTAGAATCAATTTCCTCCAATCTCTGCTCCCCAACCCCTCCCTCCTGCTCCCCCCCCTCTCTCTCTCCTCAGCTGGTGCATGGGTTATTTTGACCTGTCTTCTCGAATCCCCTCATTTCATTTTCCTTTTTATTTTTCTAGCTTAAATTTGTATTTGTAGTTGGAAATATGAAGTTAATTATTGTATATCGGTTGTTGGGGGTTTTTTTGGTTGGAAGGAGGGTGTTTTTTTTTTTTATGCACTGCTTGTATTCACAATTGTTAAAATCTGTGAATTCAAGTCATTTTGGGAAATATTGAAAAGGGTGTAATTGTATTGGACCTCATGGCTTTGGATTGCTCAAATTGAGAATTCTAAACATTTGCAAAAATAAAATGGGCAATATGCCAAATTAGAAAGAAAAAAATTTTAAGAGCGAGCAAAAAACAAGCATGGTATACAGTAGACTTATGAAAGTACCAAAGGCTCATTTTATGATTGGAGTTACCGTATTTCAATTTATGTTATTTCTAAAATTAAGTTAATTGTAGTTAACTTATATAACTGCATCTGGATATTTGGTGAGATTTATGGTTTTGATTTTAAATCCAAATGTAAAATTTAAAGATTTCGGAAGGATTTGTTATGTCCATCTCCAGGATTTTGTTGATTTTGTCTTATTCATGCTGTGGCACCTATCGAAAAGATGGGAAAGTTTCTTTACGGATGTTTTATGACTTTTGTCTGTTGACATACCACACATACATTTAATTGTGGGCAGTTGGCCTATCAAACATCTATTGCCTTTATCTCTCCTCCTTCTTTTTTTTTGTTTGTTACTCTTCTTGTAACCATCTTTTTTTGTGTTTGTTACTCTCCTTGTAACACCTCTAATCTTCAGCATTTATTTGACCTAATTGTGTTGTGAGTAATAGACAGAAGGTGTTTGGCGAGTGCCACTAGTAAGTTCCTGTGTCTTCATTTTCTCTATGTTGTATATGTGTCGCTTTATCCCTGCACAGAATAGCTGCAGGTGATTGGAGGGCACAACTGGTATGTCCTTCCTCTTTTCTTTCCTCCATTATTTTGTGAATGTGCTTCTCTTTCATTATAGCCTACTAGTTAACAGGTGGTTGGTGGAGGGGAATAACTGGTAGGTCCTGCTTGTTTTCTTTCCGTCTGGGTGGGTGGTTGGCGGGTGCTCTGGTGTATTTTGCTTCTTCTTTCCTGTCAAACATCTGTCGTCCTTATCTCTCCTCCTTTTTTGTGTTTGTTACTCTCGTGTAACACCTCTAATCTTCAGCACTTATATGACCTTATTGTGTTGCAAGTGCCGTAAAACACTTACTAAAACAAACATTTCCCTCCTGTTCTGTTTGTATATCTTACTTTTATAGTACACCTCATAATCGTTATTTGTTGTTGTGTCAAGGTGCATCCCTTTTCTCAAACAAGTGAAAGACCAACAGTAACCGTGACATGCCTACTATATTGTCTACTCAGGTACATCCGGGACAGAGAGCGGGATCATGACCGTGACAGGGACCGTGAAAGGGATCGTGGCCGTGACATGGAGAGAGGTAGAGAGCGGAGCCGGGAGAGGAGTCGGGAAAGGGAGTCGTATCGCGACCGGGACCGAGAGAGGGATCGGGATAGAGATCGCGAGAGAGACAGGTCTCGTTCAAGGGACCGGGAGACGTCTCGTCAGAGAGACCGGGACGACAAACACAAATCATCTCGCAGGTAAATGACAGAATATTAATGTCTTTTGATTGTATCCGGTTTTTCTCCGCAACAGCTCCAGGATTTCCTAACATCTGAGACCGTGCCTCTCTTTTGTTTCTTGTATAAGTCTGAGGATTAGGTTAACTGTTTTGTGTTTGTATAGTATGTACCACAAACTGAAATTTCAGTCCTCTGATTTCACATTTAACTGCACTACCTTATAGAATTTATCATTCTGAGCATTTTGATACTAAATTTATACATTTAACTTCATTTTTAACAAAGTTATGAACATCTGAAGTTGCAGAAAAATGTTACAGTTTTTTAATTGCAAAATGTCTACACTTTGAGATGTCACAACATTCTTAAATTTGAATGGACATTCACAAAATCTTGTAGACCCACACCTATACACATAGAGAACAAGCTCAATTTTTTTCAGGGCTATCAAATAACCAGAAGATGGAAATTTATTGCCGTAAAAATGGCTTTTTGACCAAAACGGCATGAAATACAAGGGGAGGTTAAAATCACCACTCGCAACCGCTGGCTTATCGGCTGCGCGCCGGGCCGCGCTGAAGGGAAGAAGAAAAGATTTATACGAAACCGGGGCGATGGTACCCTGCTTGCGAGCCGACAGGGAGCGTCCGGTGTTTATTTGCGTATAATGGCTGTGTTATTCTTGAAGAGGAATGAATGGGCTTTCTGCTGATATATTTCCCCAGTCAGTCCGATTACTGGTTCCATAAAAAAACAGCACCAAACGTTTTCACATGCAATCTCTTCTATTAATTCTTTAAGGACAGTCTTTAGAAATATATCACCGCAACGAGCGTCTTCTCATCTTGAAATGTCGACGAATCAGATTGCAGTATTTAATACCATACGCTCCCCGTTCCTGTTCAACCGAAGTCACTCTAAAAATCAATACACGAAACGCGCGGCCGCTGCGGTGAAAACCTTGATAGTGTTGTCTTTTATCCCGCAAGATTTTGCTTTCAAAAGAATCGTTGATTTAAATAAATAATACCACTAAAAAGAGGAAAAGCTCCTCTTTCTTCTGATATATCAAGTGTCTGTGTGTATGCATGTTCACACGGTGTTTTAGGAGGGTAAAAATATGGGTTTTGGTCTCCGTGACAGTGCGCCACGGGGTCGCACGGCCAGTTTGCGGTACCTATATAAAAGAACAAGAAAGTAGGCTACTTCTTCATTTCTAGCACTTTTTTTGTCAAATTATGTATTTCGCAGACTCGCTCCCCTCATGAACTTTAGTGGAGCCGTTTTTGATCAGCTCAAAATGAACTCAACACAGACAGTAAATACTTTGACATGCACAAGTTCCTGCATTTATTTTTTAAACAATCCCAATGATCTTTTTTTCTGCCACAGTAGTAAAAGTACGGTAATGACAGTGTGTCATCATGTTCCAGTGGACAATAATGTTCTGATAGTCCCATAGACTTGTGCTCCTAGACCATGCACTGTCATGGCTGTTGCTCTTCGCTGTCCATAAAAACATCGCTGAGAAGTATGTACACCACGGGCAGCACCATTACGCCCAAATAAAGAACAAAATACCAGTCTCACTTAGGTCAAGCATGCATGGCACCTTCCTTTCTTGCCATTCATTTGGCTCTAATGGCACGCTCCATAGTGAACCAGAAATATATGTCAGAGTGCACAATCCAGGATATTATGATATAAATCTATGGATAGTCCCTATTATCTTATTTCCCCCTGGTAGGCCTGCTGTTAGATATTCATGTTTGAGTATTTTCTGAGTATCGGATAGTCTTTATGGTCTTATTTTTTCCCATCATAGTACCAACACTGTGTCATCGTGTTTTTGTTTGTGTGTTTCAGCCGAAAACATCGGGAGCGGGATGACTCTGATACAGAATCCGTTCGCAGCACCAGCAAACACAAGAAGAGCAAGAGAAAGAGGGAGGACAAGGAGGAGGAGGCGAATGGGGCAGCTGTGCCTGAGAAGAAGGACTGAGCCTCTTGAACTTGATGAAGAAAGAGAGAAACAGAAAGAAAGAGAAACTGTGGAGAGGAATTGAGAAAGTGGAGAGAAACAGAGAGAGAGAATGAGTGAAACGGAGCCTCTTAGATACAGGGTGAGACTGAGAACGATTGAAAGTGAGAGGCTATTTTTTTTTTACCTATTCTGTGTCTACACACATGCGCACACAAAAGAGGAAGAGGGAGGACAAGTGCTTCAAGAAAGAGGAGTCAAATAGTGCAACCATCTCTGAGGACTGGATCTCTTGGATAGAGAGAGACTCGGAAAGAGAGACAGAATGAATGAGGGAGATAGATAGAGAGAAGTTTAAAAGTGATAGATGGAGGTTAAAAAAGGAAGAATTGTTTGAAATGAATGAGAAAAAAATTGAATTTGTTCTGAAATGAATGTTATTGTATTTTTTAATTATTTTTTTTTACTTGCATGGAATATGAAAAGCTGCTCTGTTGTTGTTTCACTGTTGCTGCTGCAGGCGTTGTTGTTGCTGTTGCTGCTATCATTGTTGATGCAATAATAACAGTCTTTGAGTTTCAGCTTTGGCTCATCACCCTAAGGCCCTGTTGTAGAGGGTGACTGTGTTGAGTTATTGGTCATTCATTGTCTCAGTAGTTCTGGATTGGGGGGGAGGGGGATTTGCAGCTGAAGGTACAGTGTCTGGGGGTGAGGTATTCTGGAATGGCCATCGTGTTATGATTTATGTAGTTTCCGATCTTGGAGTATTTCTAGAGCTGTGTGGTTTCTTCATGAGCAAAAGGGTGAGCAAGTAGTTGTTTGAAAAGGGCAGTAGCCTTTACTTTGAGAGGGACTGACCCTCTTGGATAGAGAGAGGGAAAGGGGGAGATAAACACAGATAGAACCTGATAGATCCTAATGTTGCTCAGGCCAAGTTTTGTCTTTATTACCCCCTGGACCCTGTCATTTGAATGGGCGTGACAGTCTTGTGAAGCGAGAAAAGAAATTGTTGTATGGTGAGTTGTTTCTGGTAGTGCGAGTCAAAAGTGAATAATTTGTTTTCTATTCATGTTCCGTGTCTTCCCTTTTAAAAAACTGGGAACAATAAAAAATCTGAACAAAATATTTGATCCTGAGCTTTTTGGTTTTTTTATTTAATGTAGATGTTTTTATGCCCCCATCAACAAAATTTAGATCATTTAGGGGGCGGGATTCAATCATTCTTTACTGTTGGGGCCAACCTGTGCTGAGTGGGTTACAAATCCCAACAGCAAGTTCAATGTCAAAGACAGAGATATTTGATAAAATTTCTCCCCACTCGTGTATCAAACGCAGGTCTCCTGCATGGGACAACAAAGCATCTAACTGCTACACCACACAGGGAGGTCCGTGAATTGTTACATGTCGTGTCTTACTTTAGTCTTTGTTAGAAGTGTTAGCCTGCTTTCCAAAGTACACATGCTGTCATTGGGTGTCTCCAGCAGTTGCTGATGAAATGTGTGTTGTCTGGCACAATCTCTGAACACTGGCGGCAGAGCTAGTGTTAGTCTTAGGCCTGTCCTAGAGTGGCTCTGTAGGTCTGACCTGTAGCTTGCCAAGCGCACGCCGTCTGCATGTCAGCACAGCCGCACTGTGCGTTGGCTTCTGTCTGAGTGAGCGCCCTCTGGGTGTCAGCACAGCCGCACTGTGCGTTGGCTTCTGTCTGAGTGAGCGCCCTCTGGGTGTCAGCACAGCCGCACTAGGCTAGAAGCACACAGGTCTACGAATGTAAACAAACAGTGGAAACTAGGTGGATTATATGGAGAATTGTTGATGCTAGCATCAATATCTAATAGTAAAGCACCTAATAAATACTTATTTCTTGCTGATTTTGATGATCTGTGAAGAATTTCAGTTGAAAATAAACACAAACCGAGGCTGCGTGCGACAAATGTCCAACATGTTTTACAACACTGCTGAATAGCATGTCTGATGCGTCACGCAGCTCAGCGGACAACAGACAGACCATACTGCAACGCTGCTCAGGCACACGATAATGTATACGTTCATTTGCACGGTACGAGCTTAGGTGAGCAACAGGTCCGACCTACAGAGCCACTCTGGGACCGGCCTAACAGTCTACTTCATACTCAGCTTACTTGGTTTGTTTTTTGTTTTTTTTATAGCACACAATCCAGTCCCCATCAACACAATTTAGATAATTTAGGAGGCAGGCTGAGAATTAAGACCCTGCTTGCCTGGGCTAACATGGACTGAGAGGAACATTACGCACCAGCAGAAAGACCGAGATGCTGTTGGTACCGTACTCAATAAAATTTCTGTCCACGCACGAATCGAACTCGGGTCTTCTGTCTACGATGGCAAAGCGCTTATTCGCCACAGGTACATGTACCAAAGATGTCACTAATGTCAGTCATCTTGCTATAAGTTCAGTAAGGTAGGGCCCATTAGGTCAACTATAATTTAGACCATCCCTTGCAGAAGGATGAAGCAAGGCACACTGGATGGATTAAGGTCTAGATCTATACTATAAATTATATAAACTGAAGGAAGTGGGTGGTTGGTGGGTGCTCTGGTGAGGTTTGCTTCTTCTTCCCTATGAACATCTATCGTCCTGATCTCTTTTTTTATGTTTGTTACTCTCTTGTAACAACACCTCTAATCTTCGGCCCTTATATGACCTTATTTTGTAGCAAGTGCCGTAAAATTAACTAAAACTAAACAAGAGGAATAATCTGTCTCTTCCACTTTTATTCTCATGTTGTGTATGGCGGGATCATTCATAAGAATGTAAACTCTCGACATGAGTGGGTAGTTGGAGACTGCCACTCGGTGGCATTTTTAATTTCATTTCTTCATTTCTAATCGCGTCTTATTTTTCCATGGGTGGTTGGCAGGTGCTATGGTGTGGTTTGCTCTTTCTTTCGTATCAAACATTTATCATCCTTATCTATCTCTCCTCCTTCTTTGTTGTGTATGTTACACTCTCATAACATCTTTAATCTTTGACACTTATACTTATATATGACCCAGACCTGCCACCCATCCCGATTTAATCGGGATATCCCGATTTTTTGCCCCAAATCTCAAGGATCCCGATTTCGATCGCCAGTATCCTGATTTTTTGTCGTTGCGTCTGTTGCATCCGATTCTGAGAAAAAAAATATAGAAAGTTCTGCAATTTCTTTTGCTTGGAAGTACCGATTGAACTTTTTATCGACATGAACTTGGAACGATCTTTTCTAAAGCATCTATGCCGAATCTAGTAAACGACTCACGCACGTTATTTCAACTAAAATCGGCGTAGTATCGATTTTTAATTCAGACTTGGACACGCTCAAGATCTACTTTCGCTTTTACTTTTATAACCCGGGATTCTCCGATGGTGTCCTGATTACTGTAACAATTTTGACTTAGCCTAAGAATAATATATTCGTTGTTCTGCCGTTGCTTTAAAAGCAATCTCGGTCTGAGTGCTGGTTTGTCGGGCCCATCATCAAGACCTGTCAGTGAAACTTTCAAACGCTCATTCGCATCACGTGACCTAGCTGACCTCGTACGTGTGAGTAGTGCGTGTGTCGGAGACCGTTGGTTGTCGAGGACAACAGAGTTCATTCACACCGGT